GGAGCCTTCAAATTTTACATGTAGACCGTTTATTCTCGTGTCAAGGAGATCTTGATATGTAGACATTTTATGCACGTGTCAAGGAGCCATAAGATAGTTTAGGCTCATATCAAGGAGTCTTGAATATGTAGATATTTTAGGCTCGTATCAAGGAGCATTTGATTTGGATATTTGATGGAGCTTTCTATGTAAATTGCCCCCATGCTTCATGGCTTCGGAATACATCACTCTTTATTGCCCCCATGTATATTTTCTTCAAAGAGGTCTTCATGCATCTTCAAAGGTCTTCGAACTTGATTTGGAGAGAAGAGATGAGAGGTAGAGAAAGTCCCACTGGGCGTGCCAAAAATTGTAACAACAAATTTCGTGAATTGAATTTAAAAAACACGAAAAATATTATTCAAATGAATTTCTTGAATCAAAATAAATATTGCGGGTTACAATCTCTATTTTCTCCTCTGATTTTTCTCTTCATGGATTTGGGTTTCAGATCTTGAAAGATGGATTTGACGATTGAATCTCCTTCGGGCTTGGTCTTGAATTTCTCTAACATTAATTTGGGAGTCGAATGACTTATTCCTGTATTAAATGTTAGACCTTGACTTGATTGAAGAAGACTTCTTGGAAGACTTGATTTTTTGATCTTCTTGAAAAAGAGACTTTGACTTGATTAACATTGACTCGAGGGCTTCATAGCTTTTTCTCGAATCAAACGCTATGTTGGTTGAACTTCTCAACGAACGGGGCTTGAATGTCGCTTGAACGTCGTGGATATTCTTGGATTGACTTGAGAAGCGTTAAAGTCGTCTTTTTTACTTCTTGAGGAAGAGTCGCCGCCTCTTTTTCTTCTTCTTGGCCTTCTTCTTCATTGAACGGACCTCGGACGGTTCTTCAAGAACTTCTTCAAATCTTCAAGAGGATTCTTGAGAGCGCTTGAATTTGAGACTTTGATTTTTGAGATGTGTTTTGAGGTGTGCTTTGTGGCATTGAGGAGAGCCCTATTTATAGGTGTAGGAGAGAGAGTCTTGGAAAAGAAGACATCAGTTTGATTGGTCCTTCTTGATTTGATATAATCTCTTTCTCTTATCCTAAGATTTGATATTATCTCTTTCCTTATCCTAAGATTTGACTTGGTGGGCAAGAAATAATAACTTTATTAATTAAATATCTTATTTATCATGAATTTATGTCCAAAAATAAATAAAGACATTAATTAATAAAATATTAAAATTTCGATGTCTACAAACCCAATTCCGATTTCGACAATTGTACCTGGATTAGGAACATTTGCTTCTCATTGACCTCTTTGTCTTCGTTGCCTGAGTCACCATTGTGCGTGTTGGTTTGGTCATCATTATTGTCATCGTCACGAGAATGACCTGGTTGGTTCGAACAACCCGAGGTTTGATGATCATCAGCGCCCCGAGGATATCCAGTATGTGTAAATGAACTAGGGCCTGCTTGATGTGAATATGGGGTCTCGTGGGAAAATGAAGAACTACCAACACCAAAAGAACTCGGAAATACACCTTGGGACACTATCATTTGCGTGAAGCTTTGTTGCGCCGTCCCTGGAATCCCTACATTTACTTGCTTCTCCAACTCCACGTAAATGTTGGGATTTCTTTGTTCTTCAATCAGCTCTAAGATATTCTCACTGGATTCGATTTTCATCTTCACAACTCGTTCCTTTCCGTCAAATACTGCCCACAATATGTACTCAAAATTACAAGGATCGGCCTTCAATAATGCTTGAGCACGAGAAACTACTTTAGAATATATTTGTCGGCCATAATTTATTCTCATCAGCTCTGCCACTCCACCAAGATATGAACCCTCGCAAAACGAACCACCAAAGTGCACCAATACTCTAACACGGTTGTTAGCCATTCAAATAAGTGAACAACAAAAAAAGAACTAAAAAAAAAAGAAACATAAAAATGCAGTAGATGAATGGTGCAGGTGTTAAATTGTTAGAGATCACTATTTTTTTGCCTGCATGATAAATGCAGAGACCAAATCCTCACCTGTGAAAAAGCAGTCAATTAATGAGGTGCGCAACTTATGCGAAAGTTCTGCGAATGAATTCTGAATAG